AACATAAAAGTTAATTTATGTTAGTTACTGATATAACTTGATGTTGATTTTCTTACTGATAATAATGCAAAAATAAGATAAAAAAATCTATAATATATATAGATGTATAATAACATTTAAAAAATTACGGTAAATGTCATATGGTGTGTGTATAGATAGTAAATTCAATATGACCATCTTATTTTAACATGTAATATTTTTATGTATATGAATTATGAATTTATAAATATTTTATAAAGTTTAAAATAAGAAAACAAAGTTTGCTTATTTTAACATGTGTTCTAATATTTCCTGTGTATGAATTATCAATTTATAATTAATTTATAATTTTTTATAAAAGTATAAAGTAATAAAATATTATGACTATTAATTATTAGTCTATAATTAATTTACGTAGTATATTTTTCTAATAAATCAATAATGAGTCTAATTTATATATTTGTTATTTAAGTGGGAGTATTGAAAATTTGTAATAAGTTGTGAAAAAAAAGAATATTTCAAGAATATTTTTTGAGTTTGTAAATGAGTCTTTGGGTTGGAGGAGAATTACTGTTTGATGTGACAGTTTCTGCAAAATAAGTTTGAGAACGAGTTTTTCGGTTGGACAGGCCTAAATCAAAGTTGTTTACTTAGTATACAAAACTAAATTATGAAAAAAACACGTGTGTGTTATTTTTTAAAATATTTATACACTATTTAATTTTAAATTTATTTGCGTATTTTAAATTGATTACATAAATAAATAATACTATCGTGAATTAAATATTTTTCACTAAATAAAATAAAAAGAAAGCAAGACATACAATTCTTATAATTTTTTTAAATAATAATGATATTATATGACAACAATTTATACTAAAATAAAAATTAAGTATTATATAGTGAACAAGAATAAGTAAAATTTTTATTTTCTCTTATATCAAGGAATAAATATATATATACTACAATCAAATTTATATTAGCATAAATGAGATAATATATTAATTATTTTACAAACTAGCTCTAACATGCTCATATATAATGTTATGGCTAAAAAAACGCTGATTAAAAGATGTAAAAAATAAATGATAACCCTATTGTTTACTAGACTTAAACAAACAGAAAAAATAACTTATTTAACTTTTTTTTTG